TTTCGTTGGGGACAATCTCGCCGGCCAAGAGATTGATCCACGCGAGGTGGAGGAGACACGCGAACCCCGACGACATTCGGTATGAGGATAAAGATGGAATTGCCACAAAAGAATCCACCACTCAATTGTCAAACCAACGCCCTTTTATCGCTATTTTTCTGCTGAGTCTGTGTGGTCTGGGTCTGTCTTTTGCCAATTTGATCGTTGCGGCAATTAGCATTCATGAGACAAAGGGGTCCGCTTCACTGGGAATCTGGCTGCTGCCACCAGCATGGGTGCGTCGACATTCCCCACTATCGGAGAAACACTAGGAATGGACTGCTCACACTCCATAGCTACTTCTGTTGGTGCAATTCGCAGACTCACTCACCCAGACACACCCAGTTGCAAAATTCGACAGCGTGCTATGGAAGCAGCCAACAATCCTTCTGATTGGGGCCATTGCCTTTTCCGTTCTCGCTGGCGAAAATGTCTCCGACGTGAGAAGAACTAGCACCACCACTATCCTGACTGGAGTGCAGCTGCCGACTCTTCTGGCCCTGGTCGCGGGTATATGGTGCGTGGAACGGCGCCCGGCTGTCTTCGACCATGACGGCAAGGAAATAGACCGAGAGATGACCGTTAGCCTCTGGTCTCGTTTGAGATTCATATGGGCTCCTGAGATCATGTCCGAAGGTGCCAAAGAAGCATTAGAATCTGAAGATCTTCCGACTATGAATCATGCTATCCGTTCCAAGGAAGCCTCGACCGATTTCAGTGCCATGGCCTTGACAGACGCCCAACCACTGTGGATCCGCATCTTCTGGCAGTTTCGGGTCCAGCTTCTGCGTCAATGGGCCGCAGTTCTCATCTCCAATTTTTTCGATGTCGGGCCGTCATTCGCAACTTTGCAACTTCTTCAATACATGGAGTCACGAGAGAATGCAGACGTTCGTGATCCGACTGCTTGGAAATATGTCCTGATGATCGGGATCGCCACCCTAAGCTCCACTCTGGTGGACTCGCGTATTATGTGGTGGGAAAGAGGCTATATCGTCGTTGCCTTGCGGTCGACTTTGACTTCGTTGGTGTATCGTAAATTGTTGAGAAAGAAATTGAGTACCGACCCACCGAAAGCTGAAGGAGGCGAGATTGAAGAGGTAACAAGAGCCCTAATTCTTGTGTGTTTGCCTTACTGATTGTTCTTTACTCCCAGTCGGGTCAGGATGGCCCCTCCAAGTCCGAACAAGACATCATCAATATGTTCGCGGTCGACTGCAACCAAATCGCCATTTTTGCGTCCGAAAGCTCCCAGTGTGTGAACATTGTCGGTAAAATGCTGGTGACAGTGGCGTTTTTGTGGCTTCTCATTGGATGGGAAAGCTTGTGCGCTGGCCTTCTCGGTATTGTGGTCCTTTTCCCCATCAACCAATACCTAGCGAAGCGCTATGGTAAGAAGCAGAAGGCCCTGATGGACATCCGGGACAAACGCACCACGATGACTACGGAAGCTCTGCATGGTATCCGACAAATCAAATTCTCCGCTGCTGAAGATGTGTGGTCAGACAAGCTTGAAACTGTACGTGAAGAGGAATTGTCAGTTCTGTGGAGCAGCAGGCTCGATAATATTTATATGACGATCGGCTCGGAGTTTACGCCCATTGTCCTGACGGCCTTGTCTCTTACGACATATTCTTACATCCACGGAAGCTTGCTACCTTCTGTAGCGTTCACAGCGATCAGTCTGTTCCTCCAGCTTGAGGGCATTGTTGGGCGGATCCCTTACTTGTTAGTATCTGTTATCACCGCCCAGGTGAGTGCCGACAGAATCGACAAGTTTTTACGCGCGCCAGAGCAAGAAGAAAACACACATCCGGGAGAGGTCATCTCGTTCCACAATGCATCCGTGACCTTCCCTTGCGATGCTCAGGATGCAGCAGCCGACCGTTTCGCATTGCGAAATCTCAACCTGGTATTTCCGAACAACGCTCTCAGTATTATCTCGGGCCCGACGGGATCGGGAAAGTCCTTACTGTTGGCGGCTATTTTGGGAGAGGTGGAGGTGCTGGGTGGCTACGTCCATGTCCCGCGAGATGTCTGTCCCCAGGAGCGCTTCGATAACAAGGCAACTGCTAGCAACTGGATCCTACCAACGGCTATGGCCTTTGTTTCCCAAACTCCGTGGATTGAGAATGCCACGATCAAGAACAATATCCTCTTTGGTTTACCCTTTGATCCGGTCAGATATGAGAAGGTGCTACAAGCATGTGCACTGACAACCGATCTGGCCTTGTTCGAGGATGGCGATGAGACCGAAGTCGGCGCTCAGGGAATCAGTCTCAGTGGCGGACAGAAATGGCGTTTGAGTCTGGCACGCGCCATCTATTCACGCGCTGGAATTCTCATCATGGACGATGTCTTTAGCGCTCTCGACGCTCATGTGGGCAAGCATGTCTATGAAAACGCAGTAATGGGCGAGCTCGCAGTGGGCAGAACTCGGATTGTCGCCACTCATCATGTGTCGCTTGCCTTGTCCGGAGCGAAATATGCTGTTAGTCTCTCCGCTGACGGAACTCTCAAACACGCAGGTTCTGTGGACCAGCTAGAGGCGGATGGCGAACTCGACTCTATAAAAGAACCAGAAAACAGGGAGATCTTGATTGAGGAAGAAGAGGAGCTGACAGTGCCGGCTGCCTCTGCTCCTACCGCCCCCAAGGGGCCCCCGAAGAAACTTATTGAGGCGGAGAAGAGAGCCACGGGTCGTGTCGAGATGTCAGTCTATTCCGGGTATCTCAAGGCAACCGGAGGATGGTCATTCTGGATAATTCTTTCTTGTCTGTTCGCGTTGTTCCAGGCATTGATTTTGGCTCGGAATTACTGGATCAGGATCTGGGCAGATGCCTATGGCGATGAGCAGGGGGCGACTCAATATACATCATGCCCTCAACACAACAACCCGCAGATACAGTTGGCAGGCTATTCAACGCATACAGTCTGCATGAGCAGGTCAAGCAGTCTCCCGATTAACGTTCAGAACCGAAGTCTGTGGTTCTATCTGGGGTTGTACTGCCTCATTTCGACCTTGTCAGTGATAGTTGCCGTTAGCCGGGTATTCAACTTGTATTATGGAGCCGTCCGCGCATCACGGAGAATATTCAAAGATATGCTACACAGCGTATTCCATGCACCTCTTCGATGGTTCGACACAGTTCCCACGGGAAGAATTCTGAACCGTTTCACAGGAGACTTCAGCCTTCTGGATTCACAGCTCCCGCAGATGTTCTATTACTTTGCCATAACGCTCTGGGAATTGGTCGGTATATTGGTTGCAGCCATTTTCATCTCACCGTTTATGGTCTTGGTTGCGATCTTTCTACTGGCATCTTGCGCCTTTATAGCACGGAGCTACCTTGCTGCTGCACGAAACATCAGGCGCATTGAATCCAATAGCAAGTCGCCGGTCATATCACACTTTGCTGCATCCTTGACTGGGCTTTCCACTATTCGAGCATTTGCCAAAACCGAAGAATTCAATAAACGGATGTACGATCTCATCGACACGTACGCCGCCTGCACATGGTATGCTTGCTATCTGGGCAGCTGGCTCCATCTTCATGTGGGATTTGTGGCCGCTTTATTTCCAGCCACTGTGGCTGCCTTCGTGATAAATACCCCAGGTATCGATGCTAGCTTGGCTGGATTTGCCCTCTCCTTCGCACTGAGCTTCACTTTCTTGACTGCCTTCACTATCCAAATCTCGACAAGAGTTGAGCTGTTCATGAATGCAACAGAGCGCATCTTCGAGTATCGAGACTTGCGGATCGAGAACCCAGACGGCACCAGCGTTAGGGCCAGCTGGCCCGAGACGGGTAGAATAGAGGTTGACGAGCTTGAAGTCGGTTACGCACAAGGTTTACCATCGATCCTGAAGGGGTTGACCTTCACTGCGGAGCCGAACCAAAGAATTGGGGTCGTCGGCCGGACAGGTGCTGGTAAGTTGCCTGCAGCATTTCCTCTTCCTTATCCAACTAACAATGACAGGCAAATCCACTTTATCTCTTGCTCTTTTCCGTTTCTTGGACACCCGTAAGGGTAGTATCGTCATCGACGGAGTCGACATTGCCAACATCCGACTTCACGATCTCCGTACCCGCTTAGCCATCATTCCCCAAGATCCTGTTCTATTCTCCGGTACCATCCGGTCCAACCTCGACCCCCTGAATCAATACAGCGACCAGGAAGTCCGAGAAGCATTGGCGCGTGTACACCTCATCCCCTCCGGAAGTAGCACGCCACTGTTGAAGGACGACCAGGGTAATCACTCTGGTGCTAGTTCCACCATTGCCGCTTCCGAGCATATCGGAAACACCAACATATTCCAGTCCTTATCCTCGCCTGTTGCTTCGGGCGGATCGAACCTATCACAGGGCCAGAAACAGCTGCTCTGTCTGGCGCGCGCTATTCTATCCCGCCCAAAGATCCTCATCCTCGATGAAGCCACCTCCGCGGTGGACATGGAGACAGATATTCTGATCCAGCGATCCATTCGGGAGGCATTCACGAACACCACGCTGCTGGTGATTGCTCATCGTCTCAGTACAGTGGCCGACTTTGACCGCATTCTGGTCATGAAGGATGGTGTTGCGGCAGAGTTTGGAAGCCCTGCAGAGTTGGTAGAAACAGAGGATGGCATCTTCCAGGATATGGTCAACAAAAGTGGGGAGACAGAGGAGTTGAGACGGATGATTTTGGGGTCATAAACCATGAGCATTAACGTTTAGATTGTTGATGCTTGCCGCTCCTTAGATCTTGTCGTGCATTTAGTAAGCTACCATTGAAGTTCTTGTTTGCATTAACAAAAAGAAAGATCTACAATTACAGTTCCAAGTTACTCGTCCTAGTAGATCCTGCTGTGAATTGTGTGACTAATCCGAATACATTACCCCAAAAATCATCGCATTTACATCTTAGTTGTAATTGGAGTCCACAAATGTAGCAATCAACACATCTTCACACACGGCTTAGCTACTTGTACGATTCCCCTCCACCCTAGGAACAAACTTCAAGTACAGCGCCGGGAGCAGAGCACCCATGTAGTCCTTCGTTCCTTGAAGGAACCTATCCTCATCATACTGATCCCCTGGCAAGATGTTGAATTCATGAACAGTCTTCGCGATAAGAATCTTCAACTCATTCGTAACCAGCTGCTTCCCAACGCACGAGTGCACGCCATAGCCAAACGGAGTAAAGGCTCGACGATCGCGAACCAGCTCCGGCATTTCCCCAGTCCAGCGCTCTGGGATAAAGCGATCCCCTTGGGGGAACCATCGAGAGTCAGTCAACGTAATCCAAAAGGGTACTTTTACCTCGACGTTCCCAGGAATATACGTCTCCCCAAATTGAAGACCACCAGGGGGGGTCTTCACGGGTAATCCAACAGGAGCTGGGTTGCCTAGTCTGACGCCCTCGTTCAGGACTCCGTTAAGATATGGAAGCTTGCGGGTTGATTCGACTGTCAGTTCTCCGCCTGTATTGCATATGGTATCTAGTTCTGCTCTGAGTTTTGCTTGTACCGCTGGGTTTGTGGCTAGAAAGCGCAGCGTTTGGTTCATTGTGACCAATGCCGTGTCGGAACCGCCGATCACTGCTACCTGGGCATTCGAGATGACTTCCTCATGGGTACATTGCCTTCCTGCTGGGCCACTGGTAATGAAATGGTGGATAAAATCTTTCTGGGGCGCTGCCTTCATCCGCCTTTCACTTATTATCTCTTCGATTTCTCTTTTGAATGCTTTCGCTTCTGGTGCACTTGGCAAACAGGAGAGAATCTCGCCGACGTTCCGCAGACAGGCGATGACCTAGATATGTCTTAGCATTGAATAGACGTGATGTTCTGAAAAGAAGCCATGTTACTGACCCCAGCTATGCCTAGATATTTATGAACAAAGTATGAAAGGAAGGTATCTTCTCCGCGATCTTGACTTTTACTATCCTTCGAGAAAAGCACATCCATTATCCTACTCGATGTCAGTTATGAAGCAAATTATTTTTACTGTGGATCGCGCTCACACATCAACCTGATAGCGTTCAGTTAGCTTGATAGTATTGACATCGCTTCCCTCACTATCCTTGAGTATCCGAAGGAACTTCTCAACATGATGTTGCAAGCGACCGTCGTAATTCACAAGCTCTTTGGCAGAAAGCGCTTTCTCCCTGGTACTGTTAGCACCACGACCACCACTGACTTATGCATAAAGATTGATTACCATAAGCGTCTCCATTCGCCATGATGGGTGTAATCCCGTTCAGAATTCAAGTTCCTCTCGCCCATGCTAGCACGAAGCTCGTAGAAATACCCGCGCGGGTATTGGCCCTTATATAGGTTTTGAATAGCCTCGACATCTATAATCGACACCTCGTTTGGCCCGACACGAACAATGTCCGCATTGTACTTCCTATGAATTTCCTCCAGATAGGCGGCAGAGCGCCCTAAGCGACATTGATTGGCTGCCCATATTCCGGATACTGCTGCACGCTTGGGTCCGGGTAGGGAGGCGAGCGGGGAGAAGTATAACCGATGGATCACTGTCCATGACGTTGCTGTGGAGAGGAAGACGAGGTTGAGCCATGCAATACTGGGTGGTGGAGGGATATCTGCTGAAATGCTAGCTCTCAGTGACCAGGCTACAGCTGCAAGGTTCACGAGAATGTAGGTGCTTAGTATCTTTATAGTTGAGACTTCTGGGATCGGAGATAAGATGATCTGTAGGGTTATAGCTGCCACTGCTGTTACGAGTTCCGCGGTCGCCATTGTGAGCTTTTTGAAGCGTGGTTTCTTCGTGGTCTGTCAATCTTCCTTTAATCGACATGCAATATATAAGCCTGCTCAGATTTGGAGGAATCCATCTTTCACCCCCTTCTATTATCGTGGATAGCGGAAGCTGGACGCATCAATAAGAGCCCATGGCCGTCACAGTGTAACGTCCAATTTATTGAGTGGAACATGAAAAGGTAAGGGTCTGTCCTGATGACTAAATTTTGTGCTATCACAATTGTTGTCCCTTGCTTCGCTTATTATCACGAGTCAAGCCATTACCTGAAATCTTGGTGATATAACTTCTCTACTCAGATCATTCTGGATTGGTCGTCGAGGCACAACTGAGTCAATAACAGCTAACCACAACATTTCTTAGCAGATGATAAACTCTATATACAAAATAGTTCCGATGTTGGTATGTTCTCTTTGGCCTACCTTCTCACTAGCCCATCAACCGAGTTGCACAGAGGTATGCCTGATGCTCTATCAGGAAATTTTGAATAGCCCCCCTTGCGGTTCTAGGCTGAATGAGGAATGAATATCCCGCGTATCTGACCCCGGTCTAAACTTCAGACACCAAATTATACTTTGTTCATAATATGTACGTTGTTCAATGCGAGAGATTTTCATTTACTCCTGCCGTTTATACACACTAATAGTGTATCATTCAATAGTGACAACTCAGCTTATGGCGTCTTTCCAGTACTAAAACAAGTACCTAACCTAATCGAAGGTCAATCTTCGTAGCCAAAAATTGATAAGCTTCACTATTGACTTAACCTCGAGAATACTGCAGGGTTAGCCCCTGATACTATTCTCATTATCACGCATTAGATCATGGAGAAGATCAAAGATATCTCCGATCTCGACCGACATACCTTAGTTAGGTGGCCAACATAAATCACACCATGTGCTCGCCTTTGCTCTCTTCAGTTCTGCTCCTTTGGGGGTTATCCTCCAATTTACAACATGAAAATCGACTTTTTCTCAGCTGTTTCTAGGCCCGAATACGAGTGTCTAGAATTTCACGATGAAATCAACCTCAGTACTCAACAGAGAAATGAAGTATTTGAATGTGTACGCAAATGTCTGTTCCTATTGCTCGAAGGAATAGGACATCAGCATCAAGCCATACCAGCTGACGAACGTCTACGCCATGACCTCCATAATTGGGTCCAAGAGCATCTGACACATCTGTTCCCAGAAAACCTTCAAGCTCTGAAAGTTTTAGTTGACACTTCTGCGCAAGTCGGCGAATATTTTTACGCTCATTGCTCGCATGAGACAAAGCTAGTTATGTCCATCACTACTCTCATCCTGTTCGCAAGCTATGATGACACTCTCCTCAGTCCAGAAGAGCGCAAACGCTTATCCTCCTTTTCCTGTAATGACGGCTACAGTCCTCCGGATGCCAGCCCTTGGACAGCAGTCCTTACGCACGGGCTACAATTGGGTGCCGAATACTTCGGGTCCCAAGACCCCCTGGTCGGAAGCCTTTCAGCAAATGCTATCCGCGGGTTCACGGAGGCATGTACCATGGAATACCGCATGGAGCAGGGGGACTTGCCCGTCCATCTTACAACCCACGGAAAGCCACATCCAAGCTCCGAGTGGTGTGCGGCCGAAGCGTTCCCGGGGTATCTTCGTTCAATGAGTGGCATTTCGTTTCACTATATACCGCCGATATTCAAGTATTCTCGCACCGAGGAGGTCCCTTCTCCTTACTGGTTAGGAGTGGCTCCCGTCGTGAGGAACTTCATTGATTACACAAACGACCTGCTTTCTTACCCGAAGGAGGTTCTCGATGGTGAGATACGGAACTACCTTCTGCTAGCTACAAGGACCAGGAGAGTAGCCGGCAGATCGTCCAGGTTTGGCTCGAAATTATGGACTTTCCGAGACACCTTCTGCGAAACACTCGAAAATGTGCAGAATATTGTTTTCGCTTTGGATAGAGCTTTCACAAGTTACATGCCTGCCGATAACAATGCACCGGAGGATAATAGCAAGACTCAAGATGATCCCAATGCGCAGCTGGCTGCAAAGTGCTGGTTATCTTTCCGACAGAACTTTATCTCCTTTCATCTGGAGTCCAAGAGATACGGATCAGATCGTCTTGCTTTCGAGAGAAATAACTACACTGTTGAAGAGCTGTGTGCACCAAAGCACAAGCCCATACATTCTGCTTGTGTGGGCGCGGCGGCTGCTGGCTTATTTCTAATTTCTGCGTTGGGCTATCGTTATTTCCGCAAGTAAAATGTGCCTTTTAGTGTTTTCTATACGCTGTGATGCAATTTCTCTTGAGATTGAGTCATACTCATTATATTAGATTCACACGTTGAACCTTTGGATTTCAATCATTCTTGATAATAACAGACGAACATAGTTGATCTATTAACTGATCACAGAAAATAGCCTATAACCATACCCACAAAAGGGAACCAAGTCCATACTGCTCTCCTGGACGCAGAACCGGTGTATTGCGCTGAGACAACCGTAGATGTACCAGACGTATACGCAGAAGCAGTGTGACTTCCAGCAACGCTTCCAAGGGTAGGGCGATTGAGCCCGAGACTAGGAGACGCGACACCCAAAGAATGAGATCCATTGCTCCAAGAGCTAACGTTAAGACTGCTGTTGGCAACTGATCCGACACTGGAAATAGTCGATGGCGGGACGTGAGGGGATGGTCCAGGACTACCGGCCGTGCCAGGGTGAGTGGAGTCATCATTGCTGGATGATGGTGAGGATGATCCCTCTCCGGTTGATCCTTGGGACTCGGCACTGACCCCGATTTGGCCGTCTGCGTCGGCACTGGGTCTGATGGTAGATGCACCCGATACCCCTTGCTGGGGACTGTGTGGTCCGAGTAATACCGAGCTTGCTTCACTGGTAGGTAAGAATTGCGGTATTTCGCTGGCAGTGGGGGTCATGGTTGTGGTTATCGGAACGATGGCCGTGGTGAGGTGGGTTTCCGTTCCCTTTGTGATCGTGTATACCTCTGTTGTATAATGAACGGCTGTAATGGTGGGTACAGAGGATTCTTCTCCAGAAGGAGCACCTGAATTGCCTGCAGGTGTTTCAACAGCTGCTGATGTGATGACAGTAACTGAAGCTACTGCAGTTTCTGTCGTGAGATATGTCGTTCGCTCTGTATCAGCACAGATAGTGGAAGATGCTGGACAAGCTGTGATCGGGTAGACATGGGTTGTGTAGACAGTCGATGTACTGAGTCTTTCACTACTCTGTCCGATAGATCCTCCCCCGATAGCTGTCGATTGGCCGGAGGCATGTATGCCCGTTTCCTCTGCAGCAACTGGGCAAATAGTCGTGTATGCAGCAATTGTTTCTGTCGTGTAGTAAGTGGTCTTCTCAGATGCTGCGCAATGCGGGCTTCCTTGTGGACAACCAACCGTGGTATGCACCTTAGTAGTAAAAATAGTGGATGTAGTGAGGGCCTGAGGCGGTTCAGTAGCTACTTCCCCATTGCTGGATGTCTGTTCTGAGGCAGGACAGTTCGAGACCCACGGAGGGCAGGCGGTAATAGTGTACACCTTTGTGGTGAAGACAGTCGAAGTCGTCATCTTTGGTGCGGCAGGGGAGGTAACGTCAACTGGTTGTAGAGTGGAAGCCGTTTTGGTAGCCTTCAAAGGACATATCGTAGTGACTGAGGTACGGGTCTCGGTTGTATAAATGGTCGTAGTGCGCCGGCCTGACGTAGGGATACTCTGACTGGAAACTGGGGGAATGTTGCCGGTGGAGCTTTGAGGAATAAAAGAATTGGAAAGAAGCGGCAATGACGCAGATGATGAAGGAACGACTGGAGAAGAGGACGAGGACGATTGCACTGGTATAAGTGCGGAGGAGCTCTTCAAGGGGACCGAAACTGGGACTGTTGAGTATACAGCAGAGGAGTGGAGAGAAGGAGAGCTCCTGAAGCTTGAGACCGGGGAAGTTCGTATTAAAGGGACCGATGAAGTAAACCAGTTCAATGTCACAGGAGACGGAGAGGCGCTCAAAAGAGTGGAAGGTGAAGCAGTTGATGCTGATGGCACGACTGGCGTAGACTTGTCTATAGGTCTTGATGAAGTCAATATGGCCGACGAGGACGCAAGTTTCGACGAGGATAGGATTGTCGAAGAGGTTGTAACTGCAGTAGAAGTCGCAACTGCACAAGGATTGTCATCTAGCCGAAGGGCAATATAGTCGACAACATTATTATCTGGGTCACTGTAGTCGTACGGCACGTAGGAATAGTCGATAGCACCACTTTCCGAGTAACAGATTCCCAGAAACCAGAATGTTCCTATACAGTTCGAATAGGTAGAGCAGACCTCAATACAGCCCCAGATGTCGGCTTGTCTGGAGTTAGGGAGAAAGCCTGAATAGCCCTGCAAGGTATCGCTGCAAAGCACTTGGTAGTATTCCTCATTGTATACATAGTATCCGTCGACGCAATCTGTGGTGGTAGGAAGAGCTGAAACAATGCATGTCGAAGCCGTTGATGTTGACACACTCGAGATGTACGTTGATGTGGCAACACTGGATGTAGGGCTAGTGGAAGCGACAGAAGCACTCGTCGACAATGTAATTGTCGATGTGTAAGTTGTTGTATGTTCCATCACCGTTGTCTCGGTTGAAAGCTGGGTAGAAGCGCCTGTTACGGTGGCGACGCAAGGGTTAGTTGAAAAACGTTCAATTGCGGCCCAATGAGACGAAGTCACTTCCACTGTGGACGTGATGTCTGTGAGCAGCACACACTCATCATTGTCATCCCAGTTGAGACCTTGGCAGCTCGAATAGATGCCACAAAGCACGAAGCATTCGTAAGGGCTGGTTGCTCCATGAATGGTCATAAATGGTGCTCCTTCCAAAGATGAATCTGAGCACCATTCTTGCCAGTAGGAACCTTCCGCCGACCATATCGAATTGGTACATGACTCTGGAGCAACACTACTAGGAGTACATGTGGTCTCAACGGTCGTCACTGGGAGAACACCTGTAATAGTGCTGGTCACCGTATCGGAGTAAGTAGACGTTACAGTAACAACCGAAGTGGGCGCGACTGTTACCACCGGGATTGTGGCTGCGAATCCTTGGATTGCTAGTGCTCCCATGTATGGTAGCTATTTTGTTGTCAACAATTGCCCCATGACAGAGGTCTTTATAAATGAGCGACTGAAGCAAAGTGATCAAAGGAATGGTAGGTAAGGATTGGCGCAGCTCCTACTGCTGACCCGTTTGAGAAACCGGAATAGAGGCGTGAGCTGATGGACGGTTTGAAGCAGGAATAGCCAGGGTTTGATCTCAGCAACATAGATATTCCTGCTGGCGCTCTGCGCTACCGGGGCTTTCTAGCCGAGAAGTACTGGTTATCATTGGTAGGCTTTCCAAATACCATCTACTAGCGCTTGCTAGCCGCGGGTTCGCCCGGGAAATTATAGGCGATAACGAGGGCTGAGGCTGACCAGCATCACCAGAGCAGTGGATCCATCCCCTGGTCTAGTAACGGGAGGTTAAAAGAGCCGACGACTGGAGCTATACGATTGGACAACTTCAATGCATGTTCAGATGCATATTCAAGCTTTTTACAGAAGCTCGTATATCCATCTTCTAGGTCCACCCCCTATTCGAAGTCTGGAGCGCATCCTCATTGTTCTAGTTGTGTTCGATGACATTTGGAATTTCAAAAACTTGCTTTTCTTGACCGGAAGTATCTATGCTCAATCTTTTCCATCACAATGGTTCCAGGACCGAATTTTAGGGCTCTGAGATTGTGGATGTTCGATAGCGACCCGACGTCTTCTCCATCACAGCCACCCGTGGCAACGGACTGATTCAAATGGTCAGATATTCAAGGGGTTGACTTGTTTTGATCCCTTAATAGAGTTTTTCTTCTGGAAAACCGCCTCGGCTTTTGATAGGCAGACTGTAGTTGAGCAGGTCTACTTGCGCTGCGAGCATTTCAATATTATACATTGACAACCCGCCGCGGTCACGACCCCAGATGCTTCTTTGGATGTCATTTCTTTCGTTGGCTGGAGTTGACAGGCGTATTTCTCGCACAAAACACTTCTGAGAAAAGCGTCTTTGTCTTGGAGGAATAGACGTCTGAGACAAGTGCTTCTTGACATTCGTATCTTATGCCTCTGTCCCATATAGTCATCAATAGCACGATATGGTATCACATCCTCATTTTTCTGGGACCTCTGTTATTGTAGAAATTGTGCTCTAGCGACACTACACTCGAGAAAAAGAAAAGAAAAAAGAAGTGAAACGTCACTTGAGATACTCGCGCGGATTGGCGTGCACAACACGCGAGTTGTGATTTTCGTAGAATGGGATCTCCGCACCATATCCAGTAACCCGATGCAGTTCTGCTAACTGCACAGCCACGGACCTATCCTCTTGGGGCCATCGGATAAGATGCCAATTTCCCCTGTGCCTTTGGAGCACATATACGGGAAGAACGGTCTGATCCTTGTGCGCCGTATCGTAGTTGTAGTTGTCGCGATTGACATCGACGTTGACAAAAATCCGATTACCCCATACTTTGATAGCGAGAAACAAGATACGATTGTCCTGTTTCCAGTCGGGAAAAACTTCACCGACAATTCTATAAGCGGTGGTCCGGCAGTTCTCCGATCCTTCTGATTTCATTCGGATGATGATGCGTTTTGCATTGTCTTTGAGTATCTCATCGCGGATATTAGGAAGATTGGACATGATCCTTACGCTAAGACGACGTAAACATTGTTTGATTCTGGAAACAAAATGCAAGTGAAAGTGAGAAGAAAACGTAAAAGAGACGGAGATAAAAGCAAACCGCTCTTTTATACCTCAGGCACCCGAATGTCAATGGTGGTGACAGAACCCTTGCATTGCTACAACCTGGGCGATCTAATGCACCATCTTCCTACTGGCGTCTGCGCCTCGCGTGCATGGATATACATTCTCCATAATCCCAAACGTAGTTTTCAAGCATCTATCGTGAGAATCATCTAATACAGGGCCTTGCACTCAAAATTGGCCGCATCATCAATGTCTCCTGAACCCACATACTGAGCCAGCTTGGGATACGCGCATATCGGCCGTTGTTTGTCGATAGTGTTCGAGGTATACTCAACACTACTATTGAAGCGAGATCCAATAATGTAGTCGGGTGCAGTACCGTTCTCAACCCAGTTAATCAAAGCCAGGAAGATATCGTGCTTAGCATCTTGGTAACCGGGGACACTGTAAAGGGACGGGCTCAGCGTGCTCGCCTGCGTGGGTCCGGCGATATACCACGGTGCACCCATTGTGGATGGTGTGTGGTAGCAGTGTCTGGAGTTGTTAGCTTGTGATCCCATGTTGGTCCTGTGTAAACTTACTCCATGCCAGGTATAGCGAAGAAGCGATAGAAGTCATCGATATCAATACCCTGTGGCGCTAGCGTGGCAGCCATGTGGTCGCGGTAATAGAGGCCGATACCGGGGGGTACAATGGCGTCGGAATGACCATGGTAGTGGATGAGCTTCCCTCCGTGGTGGTAGAACTCGGCCAGGTCATAGTTGTTAGCGGATGAATCGCCCGGGTCGGTCTGATCGGCGTATTGCACCACGCTATAATCGAAGTCTTGTACAGTGAAGTTCGCAAGGCCGAGGATATGTTGAGGATACCACAGCTGCGAGTCTTCGTTGCCAACACTGCCGTTGCCGATCACGCCGCTCTCGTTCCACATTGCTTCGCTTCCGTATAGCGGATGTGTATACACGAAAGTCTGATTGGTCTCCACCCAGTCGTTGTAGATCTTATGTAGTGTCTCTATCTGAGGTCCGGTCAAACAACTGGTATTCTTTGCCTCAGTGCAGAGTAATGGCAGGTAGTCAAAATGACAACCCAGTGGATCGGAAATGATGTTGTCGACCAGTCCGTCTTGAGGGTCGCACTGACGGATTGCCTCGGCTCCGATAACGGCAAACATCTCCATTGGGATTGTATGAGCTGATCCCTGAGGTGCCTGATAGGTCGTCTGCTTGAGATTGTACAGCTGTTGGTGAGTTGTCCACCATGCCGGGCAGGCAGCAATCACTCCGTCATAGTCCTGTGGAAACTTCTGTGTTTCTTTCATGGCCTGCCGCCCACCGGTGGAGCAGCCGGCGAAGTAGCTATATTTGGGCTTTTGACCATAAAAACTCTCGACGAGGAACTTTCCCAGTACACTAGTGAGGTGGTTGGCACGCCAGGCCCAGTCGTTGATCGACTCTGGGTTCTTCCACCAGACTCCATTCATGTCGGAGCCCGTGTGGCCTGTGTCAGTGGCTACAGAGGCGAAGCCATAACGCAGTCCAACGGCCTGGTGATGAAGATTAGTCTTTAACTCAATTGGAACTAAAGTAAGATCTGATACATACCATATCAACCCAATTGATATCTTCACCTTCCTGCGCAGCATGGCTATATGCTTTTAGTCAATGCCGGGTGTCTTTTGGGAAGGGTTAGAGTCGCTTACAAGAATCTTTCATTCCACGTATCAGGCAGGAAGACGCCAAAGCTGAAGTGGGTGTCGACATCCGTCGTCGCATTGACCTGGATTGCACACGCTGCTGGCAATTGAGTGGGATTGGTGGCGGAGCTGATGTTGGGATTCACGAAAGTCGAATTCTCAGCATAGTGACGGGCGTAAACTACACGCGCGGCGGTACCATTGGCGTCCAAGAAAGCTTGAAAAGTCTCAATGGAACAGTCATTACTACCCAAGGCGACTGAGAAGAATGTGAAAAACGAAGTGACAAGATGCAGGAACCGGAGTGTCATAGCCATTACTCATGTAATAACCAAGCTTTCAGATGATCTGATGGTTGGGGATTATCACCATTTGTCGAACAATTTATATATCCGGTTCTCCTCTCCGTGGCGACACTTTATTCCTCATTGTTGTTATTCCGACTAGTACATCGGCCCATCCCCGAATTGCGGGGATACGCGGGGGAAATTCTGCAGGACGGAAACGAATGCATGATCCTGTTGGATGTTTGCCCGCAAAATGAGGGCCTCTGCGGCCGCCAACTTGCGGAGTCTTTCCCTCATTGGGATTCACAGATCAACTGTGCGGGCGTGGACAAGATATAAGGCAACAATTGGGACGGGAAAGCAACAGGTGCCAGACATCTCAACCCACAACAATCACTGCAGAATGAGGCATTCCCCGCTCAGGATGGCTGCCATGGCGTCACTGCTACTGCTGGTTCTCCCGGCTGTGGCTAAAGCTTCATCCGCTCCCACAACCCTTTTGTTTGAGAATGACGGAAACTGGACTGCTCATGCAGAGCGACCAAGTGCTCTTCTAGTGCATACACCTGCCCGGCGTGGTCAGGCAAAAGCAATCTGTGCCAAATATGAGGAGCAATTGCTGAGCTGCGATGACGTGCACCATTTCCGCCAGTCCTTCCAGTACCAGCAGTATCTGGGTACTCTACCTGAGGAGACGCTGCTCTGGACTGCTTGCAGTACACCAGTCACACTGTCTGGTATCTCTCCCGCCAGAAATGTATCTTCGGATGGAGAGTGGCCTTTTGTCTGCACAAACTCGGCTCCACTAGTTGACCGTGTCGACACCGATTACTCCCCCTTCCCTCGGGTCAATACGACGGCAGGAAACATCACCTTCGAAGGTCTCCGTGATCATTTGACATTTAGATTTGCCGGTATTCCGTTTGCGCAGCCGCCGGTTGGCACACGCCGTTTCAAGTATGCCGAAGCCTGGGATGCGACCAATGTGACTTACGTCAATGCAACACAATACAGCCCAGCCTGTCTGCAATTTGGGTACTTTGATGGAAATAGCTATGACTTGAACCCTTGGGGTAATGATGAAGACTGTCTGTACTTAAATGTATATACCCCCTTTCTTCCAGGCGATGCGGAGGTGCCCGAGGATCAGCTGAAGCCTGTTCTCTTCTGGATTCACGGCGGCGGCTTCTCCCAGGGAACCGGCTCGGACCTAACCTTCGATGGAGGAAGTCTAACTTCACGCTCTGATGTGGTCATTGTCACCTCGAACTACCGACTGAATATCTTCGGGTACTTATCACTCGATGATGGCACCATCCCTGGAAACTACTGGATGTCTGATAATATCGCTGCTCTCCAGTGGGTGCAAAAATATATACGCGGGTTCGGGGGAAATCCAAAGAATGTCACCATTTTCGGACAGTCAGCTGGTGGTGCCAACTGCATCGAGCTCGTCGCTTCTCCACAGGCTGCTGGCCTTTTCCAGGGTAGTATACAACAGTCGGCAGGCAACGGTCGCTTTAGCACACAGAGCGCAATAGCTGAGCTAGCTGAGCCCTACCTCAGCCCGTACTGCAACGACACCGGAGCTGCCCGCCTAGCCTGTCTCCAGCAACTGCCTGCTTCAGTGCTCCTCAACGCCAGTGCCGACATATTCTTCACTCCAGTCATCGACAATGTGTATCTACCTGATGCACCCATGGCACTGATCGCCCAAGGAAGCTCTTACATCAATTCCGTACGGATGATGTCCACCCTAATGCCCGAGGAGACTCAATCGCTGACCACCACCACGCTGACGCCTAATATGACCGACTTCCAGACCGCACTTGACCTGCTCATTCCAGGAGGCTGGATCAATGAGAAACAGGCCGATCACATCATCCCCTCAGGTTTGTGGCTGATTAGCAACGAGACCTTCCACAACGGGTCAACTTCCTACTCCAGCGTATACAATGCTAGCATAAAGATATCCACAGAAAACAACCAAGAATGTCCAAACGGCGCCTACGCCATGGTAGGTGCCGCCACGGTCGCTTTCCCCAGCATGCATGTTGCCTATCATCAGCGCGGATACGCTCTCTCTTATTACGACTTTTACGACCTGTGTACGTTCCCTGTTGGAAAGCCGAACACACCTTATTATCGGTGCCACTCTAGTGATTTGTATGAGGTATTCGGGACTTACTACATTTTTGATCAGCCGATCCGGGTTCCTGAGGATATTTACTACACCAATGCGGTGCAGGACATGTGGGGTTCGTTTGCGCGAACGGGTAATCCCAATGTTGACAGGGAGTATCTGCTAGCACGCGGGTACAACACCACCATACAGTTCTTTTCAGATTGGTTTTGGCCGGAATTCACGGCGTCGAATATGGTCCTGGCTGATCTGCAATATCCGCGGCCGGGGTATACAGATGTACCGGATCTGGAGCATTGTAGGTATCTAGCTAGTGTGCAGTATTGACCCAGCGTAAAGCCACATGTCCATAAAATACGCAATATGGATCTCGACTAAGCATGCGGTCCGCTGTGAAAAGGGCCGTGGCTCGTGACAGGTTACAGGAATTTTCGAAGTTAGTTTTAGCTCTATATGGGCAATATCAGAGTTTTCCATAAGCGAATTAAGCCCAAACATCCTGATGAGGCGAGAAGGGCCGTATTGTGGTTTGATGTTGTAGTTCCTAGGTCCGCGAAGTGTCTAGTGCGAGCCTCCTAATCCCAAGGCCGTGCTGGGCCCTCTTGGCCCAGAGTAATTCACAGCACAAGTGAGGTACACTACTCCGTAGCGCAGCTATCACGATTATTAGCAGCCTATCAAGTTGAACCACATCTTAGCTATCCCTGTACACCCCACTCCAATGAACACCCAAGTAATGGCGAGGGCGACGAGGAAGGTTGCTTTTTCTAGAGATAGGTAATTGTCGGCATACCCGCGCCCGTAGCTGGCATTGCACTCAACGGAGTTTTCTTTCTCTTTTCCCTGTCTAATCCCACTCTCTTGCTCTCCTGTACCACCTGATGGGGCTCCTTCATCATGACACCGTATGTATATTCAACACTTCCCCCAGGGTCCTTTACTCGCATGATCCGCCTTTTGCCGCAAAGAGAAAGGAATGCCCCCATCGAGTGTGCAATCGTTCACTACGATCTCTCAGCGTCGGAAAGTCAAAACCATCTTTATGAGGCACTATCCTATACATGGGGTAGCAATTATAAGCCCAAATCGATCGTGATTAATAATTCCCTTCTCCCTGTGACCGAGAATCTTCACACTGCCCTCTTGTACCTTCGGGACCACCAACTCGAGAGGATCTTGTGGGTTGATGCGATCTGCATAAATCAAGAAGACAATAAAGAGAAGAATACACAAATTTCGCTTATGAGAGCTATTTACGCACAGGCAGATCGCGTAATTATCTGGCTTGGGGTGCCAGACCAAAGTGGCGAAAACGCACTCGACACGATCCATCAACTTGCAGAGAAAAAAGTAATACTGAATTCGGGAACCCAAAATGTTCGCTTGTCAAGAGCAGATTATTATGCTTGCATGAGGTTGCTAAAACATGATTGGTTTCGCCGTATCTGGGTAAGTGTGTGGTTTAGCTTTTCCAAATGTACGGTGTTGCATTAATATTCAACAGGTGCTACAGGAGGTCGGTGTTGCTCGATCCATCATATTTCGATGTGGCCTAGCTCAAGTCAACGGCTATGCTTTCTGTGAAGGTCTCAGCGGACTTACGCTATCACTACTACCAGAACACGTGCTTCCAGTCATTCCTCTTGTCCGGAATTCGATTGCACGGCCACGAAGTTCACAAAAACTCCCAGGTAGCCTTCCTATAGGGGAGTTGCTCGATACGTATCATACCCACTTCGCATCGGTGCCACACGACAAAATATATGCCTTGCTAGGATTGTGCTCAGATAATCCTGAAACACCATGTTTAAGACCAAACTATCAACTTGCATTCAGTGCCGTTGTTAGACAAGTCGTAACATACGTTTTCAGAGGAAACCATTCTGTGGAAGTGCAGCCTGGCACTAATATAGCCGTGATCAAAGGCAAGGGGTGGATCTTGGGTCGTATCACGTCAGTCGAAAGCAGCAAGCATCTTCATGACTACCAAACCATTAGCATTGCCTTTCATGAGAGTACCCTAGGGGTGGCCTTCAAGAATGAATGGGGAAAAGAATGGGTAATTCACGCTTCAGCAAGACCAGTCCAGGTATATGATATAGTCTGCTTCTTGCACCGAGCTTCAAAGCCAACAATTGTGAGACTTAGAAAAGGTGGCCGAATTAGTGTCATCGTCAGTATGACAACTCCAGAGATCGTTAAGAGAATGAATGGATACGGATCATTTCGCCAACAATCTGAGAGAAAGATATCAGACATACAAAATGAAGTCAAAAACATATCACCTGTCGACTTAATTCTCACCTGGGACATCGATCAAGCTCACAGAGAGAGCAACAGTGATATGACGACTCCGGGAGTGTCGGATATTCGAAGCCCAGAGAGCCTATGGCAGACTTTGCTCGAAAAGAAAAGGGAAATAAGATGTCAGCAAGTCATTGTGGAAGATATTTTCGTAAACATACTGAAGCTCGAAAATTTGGAAGGGCAGTTTGAAGCGATGAAGCGACTATTGTGTCATACTCTTATACAAATACCGGTAAGCGAAAGAGCGCTTGAGGCGGCTGCAGCGCATTGTGACATGGGATATCGACTCTTAAGAGTTATGCTTGACGACCGACAAGTGAAGCTGCCGATAACAATCGAATCGATCAACAACGCGACAGACATTTATAGGGTTTTGTATCTTCTTTTTCGCCGCACGGATAAAATACGCATCACTGAAGATGTAGTCAACAAGGCAATACGAAGCCCACAAAGTGTTGAGATCATACAGCTTCTCTACGAGCATCATGGAGATTTACCAATTTCTGAACAGACGGTCCACAATGCGGTCGAGCATATCCATGGACTTCGACTCTTTGCTCTGTTCTATCAACATCAAGACAACCTACCAATCTCTGAAGAGGTGCTCAATGCAGCAATACGGCACCGCCACGGAATCGAATTTCTGCGGCTTTTCATGGAGCATCAGAAATGTCCACCGCTCTCTGCGAGTACAGTCCAAAGCGCAATCTCAACTCCACATCCACTTGAGATATTACATCTTCTACAACAGCACTACCAAGGCAGTCTCCCTATTTCTGGGGCTGTGGTCACGGCAGCAATGAATCATGGCAATAGGGCGAAAATACTCAGGCAGCTCTACCAACAAGATAGGAACGTACCAGTTCCTAAGGAAGGATTGGATACAGCAATACTGAATCAAGATTGCTTGGATAATCTAAGCCTCCTTTACCGATTTCAGAAGAACCTCCCAATTTATAAAGCTGCGGTAGAGTTCATAGCAATGGAGCTCAAGGAGCCTGGACACAAAAGCTTACGTTCACTAATATTTGGGGACAAATCTTCGGTGTACGAATATCGTAGAAAGTGCCTAGAGCTTATCTATCAGCACCAAAGTGATGTGGTTCTCGAAGCAGCGAAGGACTCTATAGTCAAGGAGAAAATTTCATCCATGCTACGCGATATTAACGTGGAAGAAACCGAGTGACTATGGCGCTCATGGAGGACGAGTGTAAAACGACCATAAGATGAACCGGAATGTTGCGATTGAAACGTGACCTGTAGAAAAAGATTGCTATTATATGCTTTCTCTGACTATTCCTCCTTTTTTTCTTTCTCGTTCATGCTCTTATCCCACTGGCGCCTGTAGCTTAGTTTAATCATGGCCACAAACAAATGTTATGAGTTGCCTTACTGAACCCACTATCTTACTGGCCCATCACCAAGAAAACTTAGAATATGGCCTCACACCACCTCCATACTGGAATCATCATTCGACGCAACCATCCTTCCTACTACAAACCCCAGGTACACTATGCCCCCTTTAGCAACGCGCCGCCATCACTCCCTACCCTCTGTCCTGTTACGAACCCATCCTTCATGCACCAAACATACGCCTCGGCGACATCCTCCGGTCTCCCCACCTCCCCTGTCAACGTCCCCTTCTTAAAAGCTTCTAGATATGCTTCCCTCGCAGGGCCCAGCCTCTCAAGAATCTCCGTCTCAACAGCACCTGGGGCAACCACATTCACCCTGATGGGTGCCAACTCCACCGCCAGACCACTAGTCAAGCCCTCAAGCGCTGATCCCACTGCCGCACCACCCACCGCCAACCCTGCCGCCGGTCTTGCGGCCATTAATCCTGAGGTAAATGTTATGGAGGAGGTATAATTATCAACCAAGTATGACTTTGCATGTTTGCCCAATACCATCGGGACATGTAGCCGGAGGGTGCTTAAGGTTGCGAAAGTGGATGCGTTAATCTCGGGAGAGGAGATGGGGATCCGCGGTGGCGGGGTGCCGGCCGTGTAGATTATATGGTTTAGCAAAACTCGTTTAGTGCAATCATTATTTCTGGTGGGAAACGCGGTATTAGGAAAGAGAGAACGTGATGTAGCGTAGTCGAGAACGTCAAGAAGGTTCTTTTCTAAAGTGGCCTGATCGCCCAGGTCGCAGGGTTTTCCAGTTATGCGGTCGGTGTAGACTTTGTTGGGATAGAGAGCTTGGAGATGAGAGATAGTAGAGGACACTTTGGGGGTTTGAGCTGAATATGATGATGCTGGCGCCGTGTTCCAGGGCTGCACGGGCAACGGTGAAGCCGATGCCGGAGGTGCCACCGATTAGCAAAACTCGGGTGTCGGCGAGCTTGTTGATGGAGATGAGGCTGGGGGTTGTCATTTTGCTGTATGGTGCAAATCCATTGACCCGACTAAATGCATATGATGTATATCAAATCCTGAGGGTTTTATATGCCATGAATATGGGCGGGACTCGGGCTCTTTTTCGCGGAGCTTGTGTGAGACCGGGACGCGGTACGAAATGCAGAGTAACCCCAGCGCCGCCAATGTTGCGCGAGGATTGACCGCGAAAGTAGACTTCCTCATCGCCCGCCTCAACATGATGCCTGTTTCAGGCCGGAGGGTGTTGATAATCTAGTGCTGCCGGACTCGCCGTCAGCCATTTTTCCAAGTACTCTGGCTGGCGCCATGGGACTGACTTATGATGTGGATTCGTTTTACAGCTTCGAGCCTCTACTTCTTCAATGACTAGAAGTGCGCCAGGGGACTTGAAGACGGCCTGCTTGGAAGTTCGTGGAAGACTCTTTACTGCTTTTTCGTATTATCTGTCTGATATGGATGTGTCACTTGAGATAAACATGAACGGTTCAAAGGTTACATCAGGACATTTTTATGTTCTACATCCATTCATGTCCAGCTTGATCTCACCGTTCTTTACGCGAGGATAAGATATAGAAAGGATATCATGAAGTAAGCTTCATGGACTTTGATTAGTGAAGCCGTGAAGGATTCGAAATTCCGGAGTTGCTGAAAGGAGATGCCGGAGATATAGTGTGGTGACCAATAGAAGAGGGATTTGCCGTTGCTGACATCAGTTTCATCCAGGCTGAGCTCAAGCCGATCGAAATAACCTAGTAAGATCATAGAATGTTCATAATCGGAAACACCTTGTACTTGCTACCTTCAGAAGCAAAACAGGGTGGAACATCAGAGCGGATGTGTATTGCTGATTGACGAATGACCGATCCCGTCGCCCGGAAGGTCCGGAGGACTTCCTAATCTGGTAATCCGGAATGCACCAGGTCTGACACCAAGTCAATGACTCCGATAACTCCACTCTAACGGTGATCGGGAGCATGCCTTAGGCTGATAACCCGTCTAACAGACCCTGAGACGTCAATCTTGTAAGCGGATATGACGGAGCCATTTTTTCTAGACGCTTGGACGCCTGTAGGGTTATCTCTGGGCTAAATGCTGAGTATTCTTTCCGGCACCCGCGGCTCTCCTTGTCTACAACCCATGACCCAATGAATACAATAGACGCCGGACACTTCATTGTAGATCACTTAAATACACTAAGCAATGAACGAAAGCAATACAAAGTACCTAACAAGTCATTCTTACTTATTTTCCTCCTGCAACATACTAATCAACCCCCACACCTTCCCCTCTACCTCCCCAACTGCTCTATCCAACCTTTCCTTTCTCTCCACACCCACCCTCCCGCTTTCCTCACCCGCATAAATTCCCGCCAACCCCGCCAACGGCAACACCATCACCATCGTCGCACTCCCATCCTCTTCCTCCACGAACCCACAATCCAGGGGTACATGCGTGCCTGCATATCTACTCTCTTTGATCATCGCCGCCGCCAGGAGCGGGTTGCCAAAGAGGAAGCGATGGACACGTCGACCTGTTCCTGATTCAGACTCCGATCCCTTAGAGGGTGGTAGGAAGTGGTGTAGCCACGACCCATGGTCGAATTCAGCGAAACATACAAAGTCGGATGGTGTGTTCGTGGACTTGATTAAGTTGATTATTGCCTCGGCATTGGGTTGGGTGCGGAGGATGCCCGGGGGCTGGAGTGCGGGGACGAGGGCGCGGAAACAGTTGAGGATTTTGGGGTAGGGGGTGGGAAAGTGGACGGTTATATGGTTAGCTCTGAATGTTGAGATGCTTGAGACTTCGGGCAAGGACACTGGTGTGGTTGACATGATGAGTCGTGATGAGGTTAGTGGCAGTGAGATGATAATGTTGCATTATTGAGGGGAAATGGAGAAGGATTCACACGTGATTGGTTTGGATATTGTACAGGAGTGTGGCGCTCAGCTGATTTTGTGAAAGTCTGCCTAGAATGATTTATTCAAGCGCTATATTACCCCAGCCGAATTGCCGGTATGCTAATGACAGTTACCGGCCTCGAATCAAATAGCTTGCTGTTACCATCGGGTCTGGTGCGTATGAGCTATTCAAGCATATGTCAGTACACAGCACCGGAATCTGTACGTCTACTCACTGCATGATGGTCCATTCTCTACCTCAAATTGTTTATCTCATAAAGTATTCATATTCAATTGACAAGCCGCGTACTCCCTGCTAAACTTTAACAGTGTCTCAGTCGTGTTCCGGGTATTGTTCTGACGATCGTTGGCGGGTCCAAATTTCGGGCACCCGCAGTCCCACCGTGCCAGATCTTATCATTTTCTTGAATATCGGAGATAGCGGCTAGAAATGGCCAGATATAGAGAAAGAAACCGAATTAGCATCAGCGATGCTATACCACTGTAGGATGGATAATTGACCATCGGCTTGAGATTCCTTTTGCGGGCAACAAGACCGAGCTTGCCGCGACGACACATTCAACTTCTGCACGGCTGGTAGGGGTATGAGATTGTGGAGTAATCTCTGATTTGGTGAAAGATCTGCGTTTCCCTTGTCACTTAAATACTCTCTTGTGACACCATGATGTAGTTAGCCCTGTCTGCTTCCGCTGGTGTTGATGCTAACGGGTTTCAATTTACGATCAGACAATGCCTCGTCATGGAGTGCGTAAAGATGCCCACTTTGTTCCTGTTTCGAAGTAGATCATTGTACCTGCATAGGGCAGGGCCACGTATTACCTTTAACCTTGATTAAGGAGGTCGCTTATACTATAATCCTAATAAATTAGCGAAGTGTATATAGCTTTCGAGATCGTCCTCTCCTTCGATTCAATTCTCCACGCGCTTTCTGAGCCATCGACCAATTCCCTCCTTCTTTCATTCTTCCTCGTTAGTTACCCGCTTAACCATGAGAGTTCACCCGTCCTTCCTAGGCACTCTTGCCCTCAGCGCGAGCACCCTAGCATCCGCCGAGCTCAACGTCCGCACGGTCTACCAATTCGCCTCCAACGACACCTGGCTCGAGAACCTAGCCGTCCGATCTAACGGCCTCATTCTCGCAACCGAGATCGGGCCCCCAGCAAGCCTCCTCTCCTTCGACCCGCGCTCCTCATCCCCAAAGAAGAACGTCATTCACACCTTCTCCAGCGTCCTCGGCCTCTCCGGCATCACCGAAGCAGCCCACGACGTCTTCTACGTAACCGGCGCCAACACCACCAGCGACAACATCTCGGATCCTCCCAAAAACACCACGCACGTCTGGCGCGTCGACTTCACCACCAACCCCGACACCCCTGACATCAAGCTCATCGCCCGCCCCACCGCACCAACCGGCTTCAACGGCCTAGCCGCATTCAACGAGACCATCATCCTCGCCTCAGCCTCGTACCAAGACTCCATCTTCGCCATCGACACAACAACCGGGTATACCTGGGAAGCCATCAAAGATGCGAACCTGATGAGCAGCATCAACGGAATCAAGGTTCAAGATGATTTCGTCTACTGGACTGCAAACGGTGCCCTTTACAGAGCAGAGCTCTACTCAAATGTGACTGCTGGTCCTGGAGAACTTATTGTCCAGTCTACTGCTTTTGACGATTTTGCTGTTGCGCCAGATGGGTTCCGTGCTGCGAGTGGAAGGAAGTTTGCGTATGCGGCTACGGCGGCGATGAATACGATCATGCAGATTAGCTTTGACTTGCAGGGTGGGAGGAACCTGACGAGTGTTATTGCCGGCAGTTTGGATTCTACGGAGGTTGCGGAGCCGACGGGGTGTGCGTTTGGGAGGGGCGAGGGCGAGATGGATTGGTTGTATGTCACTACTGGTGGTGCGAGTGCGGTGAACGTGGATGTGGATGGGGTGGAGGTTGCTGTTGGGGCGCAGTTGTTGGGTATCAAGCTTAATTGAGTGGCATAGCAAGTGATGGTGGAAGTTGGCGTGAAGTAGGGGCAATAGAGGGTCATTATGGTGCAGAGGAAGGGCCCAGAAGAAAGGTGTGTAGGGTGAAAGTACTATTGTTGTCTTAGTGTTGTGGGAGCTATATGTGTACGGCGGGCAATAGGCGTTGTAATGTAGGTAGTTTGAGCAGGCCATAATATACTCTCTGTTCTACGTACATTATTTTGCCTGCTCAATGTTGTATGAGAGAAACTGATGGCTAGAAACACAATCGACATGGCAATCAGTTGTTGTGTGCGGAAATTGGATACAGTAAGACAGTAAATAAAAAGAAATAGACACCAACGAACAGGGGAAGTGTCTTGTCTCTACCACAATTAATTGCTCTTCGAATTTGCCAGCAGCAAAAAGTTACTGAAGCAGAAGATGCGATGGATAGAAAAATGCAAAAAGAGATGGTCCCAGAGGGGCTCGAACCCTCGACTTTGACGTTATTAGCGTCACGCTCTAACCAACTGAGCTATGGGACCCGGTTGTTGAAAACCGCCGCTTCAATGGAGTAGAAGAGGCCCCTTAATGACCCCCCCCACCAAAAATCCAGTTGTGGCTGAAAAGCCTGTCCCGCTCCAAACGGCAGAACATAGTCGACCTCGTCGAAAAAACCTCGAATTTAAACGGATTTAAGGATATACAGCCCCAGAATGGTGCTGTTGATTTCTGTTAAAATGTTGACCGCCCTTGGGGGATGCGGCAGAAAATGGTCGCCGATCCTCCTTCTCTAGTAGAACACTTGCTATTATCGTATCTGCAAATCATTTTCTCTCTTCGCCATGCCACATAGATAATTGTTATCTTGGTGGTTTTTCTTCTTGACACATTTAGACAATTTGCAGTGGTCGCGGGAAATGACTCCGCAGTACAGTGCTGCCAATTAACCCGAATCATCTTTCATATATTTCCCTCGAACTACATCCGTTAACAGTATGGGAGTCCTTTCTGATTTACTAAATTTATCATTTTTATGCCAGTATGAAGCACCGTGATCATACTTCAGCACATATTTGGGCAAATAACGGTGACTTATGAAGGATTACTTTTCAA